CGGAGCAGGTGGGCAGAGCGGCGGGGCTGGCGCGCCTCCCGGCAGAGCACCGCCGGAGGGCACGTCTGAGGCTGGCCGAGCTCTGCGGGGACGTGAGCGAGACTGCGGCGTTCGTGTGCTGAGCAGGAATTAGAGGAGACCCTCCTGCTCCTAAAAGGATCTGTTCTGGCTACGCTGACGGCACTGCGCCCGTCTCTTCCCAGCGCAAGGTCTCCTGAGGCCTGGAGGGACCTGCTGCGTGGTTTCCCTTTCTCTCTCCAGGCAGCCTGTTGTGACCGGCTGGCGTGTGTTGGATGCAAAGCGAGCAGGCAGATTTGGGTGAAACCTGAGTTGTTTGCAGAGAGATGTAATGTGGGGGGAGAGGCACTGAACTCGTGGTGATGAAGGTGCTCCAGGGGGGTCTGGTCTGGCTCTGCACGTGTGGGGTTGTTTCTGCCTGCCTCTGTTGGGATGGTTTGCTTCTGCCCTTTGCTGTTCATCGCAGTGGGGTGCTAACGTAAATCCTGGCACTATAAAATAGCGGTACTTTTGGCTTCCTTCGTTGCTTGCCACCCAGCTTGTTTTGGCTGTTACTTCCCCTCTGAATCCCTCAGCCACTTGGTTATACCCTATAAACCAGGTGAAGTTCACCACCATACCTGCTTACACTGCCTAGCGTCCAGTGCGCTCCCAAATCCGGCTCCCCAGGGAATTCATGACAGCTTTGGTGAACAGAGACCTTCTACCAAGCTTCTTCCTGCCGGCACGTCTCCGAGCTCTGTAGCTTTTTCCTCTGATACAGAAGGGGCAGAGGGTGACACGGGTGAGGTGGTGTCCCCAGCGCGGAGCCGTGCGGTCTCCTCGGTCGGCATCACTGCTGTAACGAGTTTTCCGCGCAGCCTTGCTGCCTCCCCTGCCGCAGCCAGACAGCTCTTCCCCCAGCAGAGCGGGAAGCTCCGTTTGCAGCACTTTATCCCCAAACCTCTTTTCCAGAGGCATCCTCTGATCCGCAGCCCTGGCCAGCCGCTGCCCTCGAGTAAATGCTTGTCTCGCAGGAGAGACCGCTCCCACCTGGTTTCTGTTCCTTAGACTTTAGCCGGTGCCATGTTTGCCTTCACCGTTTGCCTCTCGGCACCCACACCCAACGCTGGGAGTGGTGCTGAAGTTTATGGCTTACGTCTCCTCCTGCCTTGGCTGCGACACTTAGTCACTGGGGCTTCCCCGACAGGCTCTTCTCCCTGCGCTGAGCCCAACGGGCTGCAGTCGCGCTCTGCCAGGCGTCCCTAGCCCTGCCCCTCCTGGGATGCTGCTGTCCGAGAGCAGCTGTGGTTTTGCAGGAAGATGCTCAGTTTGGACCGTCCGCTGTCGAGCTGGCTCAGTGCCTCCTGGCCCAGATCGCTCGGAGGCAGCAGAAGCTCCCGGGACAGGAGCATCCTTGGCGTGGTGGAGGGAGAAGGGACAGTCAAACTGAGCGGGTGCCGCAGGGTTGCTGGAGGGCTGTGCGTCTGGACGCTCCAGCCCCCAAGCTACCGTCTTGCACGCAGCTCGGTGCCATTGCCTTAAAGCAAGACTCTCTTTAGGTATGAACACTGCAGATCCCTGGGTCCTCAGCCAACCACCAGCCCTCTCCAAAGCTGGGACGCTCCGAGTTGGCTCCGGCCCGTACTAAACCGGATGTGCAGCTGCAACGGGGAGCCGGTCCAGATCGCACCAGCTCAGGGCACAGGCAGAGCTTGCTTGTCTGCCCACATCCTGCCAAGCAGATCTGCCCTGGCCTCCGGGTTGGAAAGGTGCCTCCGGCCCGGCTGGTGCACGGCGGGTGCTTCTGCGGCGAAGCTGAGCGCTGTAACCTGAATGCCAACCCCAGTTCCCCGTGGGCCATTGCACAACAGCAGGGTGAAGACAGGCATCGGGGCTGGGAAGCGAAGGGCAGGTATTCACCTCCCTCGCAAACTCCTCTGAAGGCTTTTCTTGGACGTGGTGGCAACAGGCCAGTGTGGGAGGGAGCTTGAAATCCATCAGCTCCCGCAGAGGAAGGGCCCACAGCATAGACGAGCTGCTGCGAGGGAGCTTGGCCCGTGCTCGGCAGAGGCTGCAGTGCCTCCCAGTACCCAGGTACCTGCGCGTGGGCTGGTAGCCTCGCGTGGCTGCCGCAAGCCCCTCTGTCTCTCTCGTGCTAAATCCTGGTCTCGGTGGCTGGGGGAGCAGGCAGCAGCTAAAATACCTCCCTGGTCATGCTCTAAACACTCCCTTGAACACTGTGGCCTCTGGATCTCCCTGCTGGTGAACATGCGGCTCTGTGATGGAGCATCACCCAAAGCATGTGTGGAGACACTTTCTAGGGGCTTGAAGGGGGAATCCTTGTGCATTTGAAAATCCAAGATCTTCTTTGTTGCCTCTTTAGAGCTCCCGGAGAACTGGACCGATACCCGCGAGACACTGCTGGAGGGGATGCTCTTCAGGCTCAAGTACATGGGCATGACGCTGGTGGAGCAACCCAAGGGAGAGGAGCTCTCCGCTGCTGCTGTCAAAAGGATCGTAGCCACGGTGAGTATCCGTGCTGGGCTGCTAGTCCCAGAGCATCCAGGGATGCTTCGCAGAGTAGAGCCATGTCTTGTCCTGTTCAAACACGTCTGTCAGCAGTGACAATTTTTAAAGCTGTAGGGCTGGAGGAAATGCTTTCTGTCTGCAGTCCGGGGGGGGAAGGGCATGAGGATTGCGGGTCTGGCCCTTTCAGAGGTGAGCAGGGCCCCTTCGCAGCAGCTGGCAGTACGGATAGAAATGCAGACAGTCATAGGGACTGCCCTAGGCCATCCGATGGGTCAGGCTGCGGAAGGTTGATATTACATGTCTGAGCTGTGGCTGCGCTTGATAAGCTGGTGTGACCCTGGAAGCAGCATCTGACCTGGTGCAATCAGCCTCCCCTTTGGCCGTCTCTCCACATGCAGAACAGTAGCAGTGTTTTGAGTACTGCCAGCGCATGACTGAGTCCTGGGCTCATGCCCTGGCTTGTGTTTTTAGCTTTTTTCTTCCTGGTATTTGGAGGGTTAAGAGGAGAAGGGACTAGGAGAGTTTGCTTCAGTTCCCAGCCAATATAGCCACCAGCCCTGCCGTAACTTCTGATGCAAGAGGGACTGATCGGCAGCCATCCTCCGACACGGGGCCTCCCTGGAGCCCTTGTTCGCCGGCTCTCCAAGTAAAATTAATGCTTCTTTAAACCCTTATAAAACTGAATGAGGCAGAGACCCAATTGTACAGTTAACTATCATAAAACTCAATGGGGTGGCGAACTGCGCTGGGTAATGAAGGATCCTTTCCTGGCACATGCTCAGCTAGTTGGGAGGGGAGCGGCTTGCATGAAACAGGAGCTGCTGGCAGAGCCCTTCGTGTCTGCTCTGAACGACCGAGAATGGAGCCTTTAAATAAACGCCAGCCTCAGAGAGGCAGGACAGACCATTGGCCGAGCTGGGGGCTGCTCAAGTGAGCTCCAGGGGAGCAGGACTGAGGATCCAGATCTACGGTCTTCAAGTAGCTATTCCAGCTTTTAAGGGACTTGTGCCAGAGGCTGAAAAATTAGAGAGGGGTGATTCTGCAGAACTGTCTGTCTGTAGGGGATTCACCCATCGCCTCTTTTGCCCCACTGTCTTGGCAAGACATGGTTGACACGTAGCTGTCAACCGGACAGGTCAGACTGCCCTGTGAGCCTGCAAACCAGCACGGACTGCTGTCCTTGGGATTTGTGGGCTCATGTGAGGTGCTGTGAACCAGAGGGCTTAGAGCTCAGATGTAGATGAGCTGCTGCAGAGCTCTCCCAGCTGTAGGTTTTCTCTCTCAGACACGGCCGGGTGAGAGAGGTGCCAGGGAAAGATGCACACCCCTGTGCAGGGCTGAGGCAGGAGCTGAAAGCCAGCTGCTCCGTGAAACCACATCCTGTGGGACCGTCCTGCTCACCACATGGCTCCCTTGGTGGGGGGTGAATTTGCTCTGGTCTTAAAGACAAAACTCTGCAGTGTTTCACCAAACAGTGATGGCCTTGCACAGCCTGGCCAGACCAGCTTCTTCCTTGGGCTGATCGCCAGGTGAAATCTTCTTTGTGGAGGTGCTAGATGTGAAGTACCTACATGTTGCAGGGGCTGGAGGATGCGTGTCCTTATCTTGCTAATGCCAGCATAAATCACTGCTTCAGGGAAGGTAAAGTTTTAGCAAGTGCCTTATCACACCTGGTAGTAAATTCAGTCTAGTATTAATGAGTGCTATTAATATGTCTATTAGGTAGTACATATCTAGTGTAACTGCTCTGCTCTGCTGCTTTGGATGTAACGATGTTAAAGCCTATAACTTTCCTCCTCCCTCTTTTCCTTCCAAAGGCTAAAGCAAGTGGAAAGAAGCTGCAGAAAGTTACTCTGAAAGTCTCTCCCAGAGGGATCGTGTTAAATGATAGCGGAACCAACGAGCTGATAGAAAACATCTCCATATACAGGTATGTTATGGGATGCAGTTTGGTGTGTACACGCCCTGCGCCTTCCTCATCTGCTTCTGTTCAAGGTGATGGGCCGGTTTCTGCTGGGTTCAGAGCCCTTTGCCTGGGCAGGCTGTGCAGCCATCTCTGATCTTTATCCAGGCCTGAGCTGACAGCTTTTTGGCCATCGTGTCTTAAAGTAAAGCAACGATGGCAGAGGGAGGGTGTTTGCAAAATGCCATCAGAAGCCAAAGGAAAACGTATGTCTGGTGCAGTAAGTGTGTGGGAGGAAAAGGAAAGACACAACAAGTCCGGCTGTGTTGTGTGTGCAGACTACTGATCCTCAGTCAAAGGCTCTGCAGCTATGCGGTGGCCTTACCATGACATTTATTCATGGCAATAGAAATGCCAAAGAATTCAGGATAAAGGCAAGCAAAAGGGTATCTCCAAAGTGGTGAGGATCTGAGCGCGGGAGTCTGGGCTGCGCTCCTCTAGCCAGCTGCTCCGTGCTGTGCTGTTCTGCGCTGTTCACCTCTGATGTGTCTAAATAGCTCTAACAAAGAGCCGGGCTTAGACAATTGCTGAGACCTAACACTAGTGTGGGGAGAGGAAGGCAAGGATGGTTTATCCCATATCCACTACTGTAGTTTTTGCAAGTGTTCCTTTGAAAGAATATCCTGTTGGAGGCAGATACAGGCCTAGAGGAGTAGAGCTAAGCTCGGATCTGGCCATTTCCGTATTGTGTCCCTTCTCTCCTTACCCTGAACATGCTTTGCTTTCTGTCCTTCACCTTGCCACACCATCTGCCTTCACTAAACGTGAGATGGGGAGCTTTGGGTTCGGGCACTGTCTCTCTAACTGGACTACTAACCTGCTCACTTTTTTCCAGTTTAAGTTGCTTAAGCAGCTATTTAAAGCCACCAGAGCTGAGGTTCCCACCCTCCCTAGGAGATAAACCTCTGCTGTTAAAGTGCAGAACTTGGTGAAGAGGCTGTGAACGTGGGTGTGATCGTGCTGAAACCGGTCCTGCTGTGCTTGTGGAAAGCCTGGTGCAAGCAGAGCCTTGGGCTCCAGGTGTTTAGATGCTGCCTTAAATTCTGCCTGGACATTTTAACTGGAGGCTATAAAGCTGTCCCTTCCAATCAATGCTCATACACAAGCATCCCCTTGATTCAGTTAACTGAGGTCAGTACATCTTAAGCAGGCTGTTAACGCGGGGACTGATGCAGCTCTCTGGAAATGCGGATGCTTTTAGCGAGAGCTGGGGTTTGTGTCTGCGGAGGGGCTCATCTCCCAGCGCGTCATTTCTTACCCTGCTCTGCGAACATGCTTCCAAGTGGTGTTTTGGGAGATTCACTCTGAAACTTCCAATGTCTTTTGTCTGGCTTTTTTACCGATTGGATAATCGGTCCCGAATCAGGTACTCGGGCAGGCAGCAGGACGGGGTGGCTGCGTTTAAAATGCAGCCTCCGTCACTGGACACGTTGCTCACACAGTCTCTGCACATGGAGAGGCCTCTTGGTTTTAAAACTGGTTCACTTCAGAGGCGGGTGTGAATTATGCTTTCCCTGAAAATTGATGGCCATCATATATTGAGCTGAACACTGGGGGTGGCTGGAAGCCTGCCACGCGTCTGTGCAGATGACCTTTTGTAGCTTTGTCGCAATTATTGAAAGACTAGTCTTGCTACTTTGAGAACAAATGGGAGAAAGGAGTAAACTTCTAAGTGCCTCTTTAATCCAGAGCACAGCACAGCTCTGTAAGACCAAATATAGGCCACTGAGCAGAGGCATCCTCACACACAACAAGAAACTAATGCAGTGTAAATAAATTTTGAATGTGGCTTTTTAAGTCCTAACATCTGCTGGGAACTGGGACGTTCCTCTCCCCTCTCTAGAAAGTCTCCTGGGTAGCGAAAGCATGAGCTGAATGGGCAATGTGGGGCAATGGGAAAACTTTCACCAAAGTGTCCCACTTTTTCCTCCAGCCTTCTCTCTCCTTAACACCTGTTTGATCTGTCATGTTCCCAGAGAAGAGGCTTAGCTTGCTGCTAGTGCCTGCCGCGTTGCACTAAACCTCCGGGGCTGCTCCCGGCTGGGCTGCTCGCCGGCTTCAGATGAGAGCGCTCCATCTCGCGGCTCTGGCCTGACGGACTCCAGGGAGAGGGCAGGCGGCAACCACCCGTGCTGAGGAGAGGGCTGAGCGTTCGTTCACAGCCTGGTGGTCTCCAAACAGGTTGGCCTGTTGCTCTTCCAAAGCCTTGTTTAGGATTTCAAAGTAAGCCCTGTCCTGCCTCGAGGCTGGAGGATGGGAGCCCTCGCAGGGGATGCTCCTCCAAGGGAGGGCAGTCAGGGATGCTGCACCTGCTACTGCGGATCTTGGAGTCTGAATTTCAGCTTTTCCAACAGCTCTTCTTGGGTGATCGATTTCATTCCCTGGTTTGAGAAAGCACAGGGGAGCTTCAAGACTAATTTGTAGTCTTGGAACAAGTCCTTCTCTGTCCTTGTAAGCTATTCCTCCAAGGAAAATCTTCCGGAGTCTCTCTTCTGAAGGCAGAGCATTTTTTTTAGACATAATCCTAGGCTGGCATGTTGCAGAGTCTTTACTCACCTTCTCTAACCTATCCTTTCCCACAAAGTAGAAGATTTTCTCTTCTGTCTTGCCTCTGTGCATGATGCACATCATTCACACCGTGGCCTCGTGCTGCAGCTGGCTGCTCGGCAGCAGCACGGAGGCTCGCTAAGGTGAGGCTAGTTGTCCGGCCAGGAGCTGCTCTGGGCCTCTCTTGTGCTCAGGCCAGTGGCGCTGACTCCTTTGCTCTTGGCTTTGGGAAGGAGTTGTGTCAAAGCTTGGCAACGCTCCTGCCGCTCCCTCTGTCTTCCCTGCTTGGCCCTTGCTTGAAGCCTTGATGTAGGAGTTTGCTGGTTGATCTGAGGGGTTGGTTGATGTCCCTTGTGCACAGTGCCCCGGACAAGACGTTTCATTCTGTCTTTCAGGATATCCTACTGCACGGCAGACAAGATCCACGATAAAGTGTTTGCCTACATTGCCCAGAACCAGCTCAATGAGAACCTGGAGTGCCATGCCTTCCTCTGTACCAAGCGGAAAATGGTCAGTCCAGAGGAAGAGGTTGGGATGCGGTTTTAGGAGGAGGAAGCAGAGAGGGGCTGGGCCAAGGCTGCCATGAAATGAGAGCTTTGCCCGTACTTACAGTGATGAGGGTCCTACCCCAGGTAACGGCCGCTGGAAAGCGCCACAAGGGTGCTGCTGCATGCCGGCGTAGCTCCACAGCCTGCCTGCAGGTAGTTAATCATGTGTAAAGCTGTCCAGGGCTGGCGATCGCTCTGCAGAGAGATCCAGCACTGCCATGGACCAGGCACAGAGAGCAGGTGTAATTCTGGGCTGGAGTCTTCTCTCAGTGACAGGTAAAAGCCCTTCTGTTCCCGAGGCCTGGGTCAGTGGTGAGAGCACATGTCCCTTCGCCTGCACCTGAAATCCTCCTGCCTTGCTGACGTGCCAGGAGCTGGGACTCTTTCTTTGCATGGTGGCTGCCTCTGCGGGCCGGTGGAGCCTGGCTGTGCCATCTGCGCCTGGTCTGAACCTGGCACGTGGAGAGGCTCTGGCGGGCGAAGCAGTCTCCAGCGAGGCCGGTCCTGAGGTGCCCTGGGACTGCCTTGCTGATGGAGAGCGTTTAGTCCACAGTTCTGGGCTTACCTCCATTCTCACCCTGGCTTTGTTCCATTTTTCTCTGTTGAAGCTCCCCGTGCAATTTTTAACTGCATCTTTGCAAATGTAGCAGTGTCCTCTCTGCGAGAACCGATGTGTGGCGTGACGCGTGGCACAGAGCCCGGGACCTCACTGCGTGCTGAGGATCAGGGCGCGGAGCAGAGACGTGTGTGTAAAATAGTCTCTGGCTCTTGCTTCGAACCCACTTGTGGGTTTTTTTCATGCTGATTCAGTGCATCTCGTGGAGGGAACGCTCCAAGCTGGCCAGGATGGGCAGAGACCCAGCGTTTAAGAGCTGGCACAGGAGAGAAGTGGGTCACTAGGCATCAACTGTAAGCAGAGCCCTTGGGTCTCTCGCGCAAGTGGAACAGGGTGCTGGGGCTGGCACTGAGGCCCTTCCACATGAGAACAAGTGGGAGAAAGGATTTAAGGGAGAGAGAGGATGGATCAGACCCCTCTGGCCCCAGAAATCCTTCCCCTGGAGGGACCTGCTTTGCCCATTGGATGGGCCAGGCAAAGAACGAGGTCTCCAGGATCTGTTTTCTTCCTTCCTAAGCAGGAGAAACGACCTGAGGGGCTATGAAAGCTGTTCCCAACCTGGTGGCTTTGATCCAGCCCCGCGTGGTGATTCCTGCATCCCTTCGAGCTGCCCCTGGTCAGGCAGGCCGGCGCTGCTGTTCGTGCCCGGAGCACGGCTGCTGCAGCTCTGTTAATATTCTGTCCTTCTCCCGGCTCTTTTTTTTTTCTGGGGAAAGAAGAATGGAAGCTACAAGTTGTCTCTCCTTTTTGCAGCGCGCGCTCCCATCCTTGCGCTGCGAAGATAAGCCTCACTCTGCAAATTAAAATTTAAATCTCTCCAATGCTAAAAGAATTATCTCAGTGGTACATCAGCTCAGTACGTCTCCCTCCGAATAAAGTTCTCCAAGGCCTTTTGTGGCAAAAACTAGAAATTTTTTTTTCTTTGTCTGTCTATAAAATGCATGTATGTCATGCTGATAAAAGATGAAGTGATGCCCTGCTTCCAGACCATGGACTGTCTCTACCCCAGGGCAGGGTCCCTGCGTGTGTGTATAGCTACCAGTCACTGGCATATAATTAGTCCATATTTTTAGTTCATGGGTAATTCTCAACGGTAGCTGGGTCTATTAAACTTGATTCAGATGTGACAGCTTAAATTGTAAACAGCTGTGAGGAGTTTCATACTTAATTACCATATTTAAGTTTTTGCCATAAAGCGTTTGCACTTCCATCAAAGATGTAAATAGCTCCGACATTCAAATGAGCTCTCCTACTTTGTGAGGCTTAATTGGCACAGATAGGTTTGCTGTGTCTCCTCTCCCCCTCCCACGTAAGAGCGTGTGGCTTTTAGAAGTATATTCTCCATTAGCACTTCCTCCTTATACCCCCATCGTCTGCAGTATAAGGGGGTACAGAGGGGGGGTTACAGACTCTAGGATCTGGATTCGTTTAGCTTGCAACTTTATAAAACAAACTTAAGCCTCAAGGCTTCTGCCGTGCGTCAGCCTTGCAAAGTATTACTTGTTATCTCCTTGCACTTCAAACTGCTAGTAAGCTTGGCCTTCTTCTAATGAATCTGGCATTTGTTTCACTATTTATGTATCTTGAGCAACTCTGGCTATTTAAGATTTTTTTTAAACTACTCAAGCTCTTGGCTTGGGAAGAAATGGAGGGACCGAAGGTGGACGCATCCCTGCTCCTGAGCCGTGGCCTGACTGTGCGCGTGCTTCCAGCTCGAGGCGGTTGCAGAGTAAAACCATGATGTTGGTCTAAGGCAGCATGATCCCAGCTTAGCTCGGGGGAGCAAGAGGAAGACCCCAGGGACTTGTCCCTGCTCCGTGGCATTCCCCGCACCCAGCTTCCCATCCCTCCGAGTCGGAAAGGGGAAGCCAAGGCTCGCTTCGGTTGGGGCCAGGCTGGGGCGTCCAGACCCGGTGTGGGAACGCCTGCGGCCCATTAGAGCAGATGCCAGCTCTCTCCTGGGTCTCCTGCATTGTGTGTGCGAGGTTGCTCCCTCTTCAGCAGAGCTGCGACTTCGCAGAGTTTTACCCTGTTGCCCGTTCTCCAGAGCACCCTTGTGCACCGGTCATCTTGGCTCGGGGAGGAGCGAGCTGGGGAGGGTTAGACAGCGGGGAACTGGCAGGAGCTAAACGCAGCTCTGCAGACCCTTCCTGGCTCTGGCGTGATGCGCTGCTGGCTAGCCAGGGTTTGCAGCCCCACGTGAAAGGTCTCTGTCTTGCTCTCAAAGGTGTCACTTGCCACGGTGACACTGCAACAGTACGGTCCTCGCTGGTTGGGGAAGGGCATTAGGGCTTGCAGAGCCAAGTTGCTGCCCAGCTGCTTTGAGATGTTGTCCCTCATCCTGGGTAAGGGCGAGAGAAAGCCAGGGCAGGAGCTCGCGGTGCTCTGCGTCCAGCGCGTGCTGCTGCGTGACGGGTGCCGCACAGGTGGTTCCTGCAGCTGGTGAGCCACAAGCCTCATGGAGTCGCAGGGACAAATCGGCAGGTTTGGGTATTGGGTCGTGTAGCAGTTGCGCTTGCTTAGATGAGGCATGTGCGGCCCGTGCATAAAGAGCTGCACGGGCACCGGGATCGAAAGGGCACTTGTTTGCCCGGGTGTCAGTGTGATGCCTGTGACAGCCGCTTCCCTGCCTCCTGCACCTTCCTGTTGCAACTACGAGATGCGTCTGCTCCAGGCTGCGGGTCCGACACGGAGCAGCAGGTCCCTGCTTCCATCAAAATTGGATTACCCTTTTCCAGCCATGCAGTGGGGGAGCGTGTGGAGCAGAGGACTGGTTGGATCCAGGTTAACATGTATCAGCAAAGCAAAACATTCAAATGATTTAAATCTACATGAAGACTTGTCTATTAATGCACTACCTAACTGCTGTCTTTCCAGGCCCAAGCAGTCACCCTAACAGTAGCTCAGGCGTTCAAAATAGCATTTGAATTCTGGCAAGCATCCAAGGAAGGTGAGTTTTCTTTCTGCTCTTCACATGGAAGTTGAAGGGATGATTTTGGGTTTATCCAGCTTTCAAGTGTCTTTTTTTCCTCCCTCTGCGCTGTGTCACCCTCCAAATTTCCGGGCTGCCATTAAGGCTGGTCCAACCTCTGGGCATAATTTAAGGCATCTTCCAAATTTCTCAGCCTCGTAAGTCCAGCTGGATTTTGGCTGTACTGTTTTCTCACAAGCAGGGTTTGGAGGACCTGGTGCTGATCTGTGGTGTTTCAGACCTCTGCCAGTGTCAATATTTTTGCTTTTGTCATCCACAAGGTTATAAAATGCATGCAGAGCCTTGCATGCATTTGGGCAGAACAGACCCAATGGCCTGTCCTAGTCATCCTTGCCGTGTCCCTGTCCCTTGGGGGCTCACCCCAAGCAGAAAGGGTTGAGAGGAGGAGACTTGGTGCCACCTTGATTCTGGGCTACTTTAGGTCCAGATATTAACTAAGGCACCCTCCAAAGGTCCCTGTGCAAAACCAGGGAGGTGTCTGTGGTCTGGAGCTGCGAATTGGCCTTGCCAGGTTCATTCCTCCTGCAGAAGGGAGAGGAACGGCCAGAGGAGGAGGCTTGTTGCAGTGGGGCTGTGTCTCATGCTTTCATGAGCAGAAGGTTTGGAGGAAAGTGCTTGGCAGGCAGTGATGGGGTTTCCTTCTCTTGCAGAGAAAGAGAAGCGAGAAAGGTCCGTCTTGGAAGGAGAAGGTGCGAGCGGCCCAAACTCTGAAGCTCCTGCCTGCCCCGAAGCATGTAAGTCACCAATGGGAGGGCTTTGCTTTTGGCTCTGGAGGAGTCTGAGTTGATGAGGAACAGCCTGATGCCTGCAGAGTTTTTCACTGAATTGGAGAGTCTCCTGGGAGGGCTTTGAAGATCAGTGAAGAACAAACAGTTTTGTAATAGCAGAGATGCCTGCCCTACCCAGACCTCCTGGGACAGGGTGGCTGCCTGCCAGGTTCTCCTATCTCACTGCAGCCAAGCCCTTAAATATCTCTTTAGCTTCAGCACGAAGGAAAGTTTGGGTAGGAAAGTGCCCCATAGAGCCCCGTGGGTCTGCCTGGTGCCTGCTCGGCACGTGTTTGTGTCAGGAGCAGCCAGCAGTGATTATGTGATGAGAGCTGCACCATGAACTTCAGTCCAGTCAGTATTTGCTGTTTTTAGTCTGTGTAATGGAGAGACACGCACCCCCTCGCACACAGCTGCCTTCTACCTCCAATCTGCTTCTGCCTGAGGCAAATTGGCCATATCTTCCTTATGAGCTTAGTGTGGACCCTCACATCCCAAGTTTGGTTTTGGGTTTTTGTTGAACCCGAAAGAGTTGCTGTCCTGTTGGCTGAAAGAGAAGACATCCAGGTGCTGCTCTGCCTACAGCTCCTCTAAGGAAGGAGAGGCAGGTGAAAACGAAACAATTAAATGGTGAAAACCCTCAGAATTCAGTGCCTGGCCATGGGTCCTCTGCTGCCTCTGAAACGCAAGATGCATAGCCAGGGAGAAGTGGGACAAAAGGCTAATCTCTCTTCCATGCTGGCCTCAGAGATAAGAGGATTTGGTGCTGAGGAAAAGAGCATTAAACTGGGCTTCCTTCCAGACTGGCATGTCTCATTTCTTCACCTGAAGGCCCAGGACTGAAGGAATCCGTTATAAGTGGTGGCAGATTGGTATAAATGCCCTGCTGAGGCCCCAGGCTGGCACGATGGTAGGAAATGTGCTCGAGCGTCTGCCTGGCCGCAGACTGATGCTTCACAGTTGGGGCGTTTCTGCACCTGCCCTTGGTACAGGATAGCGGGGATGATTTAATGCATCTCTGAAACAGTACAGCTGTGGTCCCACCGTGACTAAGATGTCCCTTGGGGCATCCTGGTCTCTCTGGGCAAAGTGCTGGTAGCGTAGTAGAGGGCTGACACCGTGTTGAGTCTGCTGGGCTCAAGAGCAAATGGCTTTAGTCATAGTAAAGCTGTTCAAGTAACGTTATCGACAATCCTCAAGCTGCAACCCGCTCTTCACCCAAGGCAGGATTTCCTGTTGTTCCTATAAAATAAAGATGCATCTTTGTAAGATGTGGCACTGAACAACACCTACTTGCTACAACAATATTGAATAGTGAATGTTGTGGGAAGTAAAGCACTGGCTGTGCTCATCCTGCTTTTTAAATACAGCTCCAACTCTCCCTTTAAAACAGCAGACACTTCTACAAAGCCATGGGGTGTCTTTCCACAGATCCCAGCTCTCCGGGGAAGGCCTTGATTTTTGTGCTATGCTGGCGAGTCCTGTAACAGCTCTGCGCATGCAGCGTGAAGAGCTTGAGAAGTGGTAGCGGGGAGACCAGGGCTGAGCTGAGGATATCAGCCCCAGGTCTGTTACTGTTTTCCTCCCAGTCCTGGGCTATAAAGCACCTGGGGATGCTCTGTCTCAGTTTGCCCAGGGTGATCCTGATTCATCCTGAACATGAGCAGGTAACCAGGAGCCTCCATCTATGGCTGATAAAGGCGCAAGGTGGCTGATCCTCCCCTTCATCCCTGTTGAGGGGGTCTTGGGTGCCTGATTAGAGCATCTGGAATTATTTGGGCTGAAACCACAGGCGCAGCTGGGAGGTTTGTGGCTCTTTCATGCTGAAATTTGGGGCTGTGCTGCAAGAATTTGGTGCTACTCCTGACTTCCCCCTCGAGGGGAAGCAATTGCTGCAAAAAAGCATTGTTTTTGTGTTGTCTCTGTTTTCCCCCTCCTCTGCCTAATTCTCTCCCTGATCTGTTCACAGCAGTGGCCACAGGGAACCTGCTGGATTTAGAAGATCCTGCCAAATTGCCCCTGACCGTCAGTGCAAACTCCACGCATTTAGATAACAGCGTGTTTGGCCCCAGCTCCGCTGTAAATAACAACGTAGTGTGGGTAAGCGTGCCCTGGGCACCATGGTGCCTGCCGAGCAGGAGGGAGTGATGCTCTCCGACTGGCGCTGCTGCTTCCTTTCTGTGTTTGCTTCAGTCTCCTCTCTGGGCTTTTCTCTTGGACAAAACCCTCTGGGAGCTCTCGGGCTGCCGAGCTGTTCATGCAGGGTTTCTGAGACGCCTGAGCGAGCTGGGTTTCAGTGTCCTACTAGAAATGATTGATTAGCATTTGAGTTCCTAGTGCCCTTTTTAGGCTCTGTAAATAAATGAAAGAGATTGCAAGCCAGTCTGAGAAATGCTGCTGTCAGATAATTGAATGTTACTTATTCTCGAACAGCATTTCTCAGTGGTTTGTCACTTAATTGAGAGACCACCTAACTGCTCTATTCAAAGGAAAAATTCATTATGTTGATGGCTTTTGTTTACTGTTCACTAAAACCAGGTTAAATTTATGTTCATTATTACTCTTATTTTTCCCTGTTCTTGTTTGCGGCTGTGTCTTGCTTGTGTGAGCGTGGATGGCTTCTCCAGAATGTCCCAAGTCATCTTGCTTAATTGTTTCATGGACCACTAACAGAAAAATAATGGCCCAAATCATGTGTCTGGGAGTGCATCCTTACGGAAGCTTCTTGTATATGAAAGTGCTCCGTCACCAACAGGACCAGGGCTGATCTTTGAACCCCACCCCCACCCCCCCGACCTGGGACACCGTCCCCACGACATTCCCTCTCTGGAAACAAGCTGTCTGCTGGATTTTGGAGAACTGAATGATAAAGACCTTTGCCTGGAGCCTGTTTCTTGAATCTGCCAGGTCTGAGCCTGAGGCTTTTCAGGTTAAACCTGAAAATCAACTCTATGTCATATCAAATCCTGCAGGCTTATCAGCAGTCTCTGATCCCTCCCCTCTTGCAGAGTTTTTGTACTTTACATATTAAACCAAGTCTTTAAAAACATCACAATCTTCCCTAGTAACTCGGATGCTTTCCATGGGAAAGTTTCAAAGAACAGATCAGAGAGAAAGGATCCAGGAGTTGCTTTCAAGCAGCCTAAGTCCACCCTTTTCTTGCTGCATCTCTGAGTATTGCCTTCCAGGTTCCTGATCCTTAAAGACCCCCAAGGGATGTCCAGAGCGTCCTGCTGAGCTGAGTCCAGGTCCTTCATCTTAGCAAAAACCTGTGGCGTGCACCAGTCGTGGTGGATGCTTGAAAAGCCAAGGGAAGCAGCTTGCCTTGCTCAGCCCTAGGTAGCTATCTGCTGCTCGCTTTCAGCTCTGCCCAAAATGTGTCTCTGCATAAAGAGCGAACAGATGCTTTCAGTCAGAGCAACATCTTCTGTTTTGCATTGAGCAAAGAGCAGTTTGGTGCTGGCAGAGAGCTCGGCATGTGAACTTGGAACAAGGTGGCAATTTTCAAGCTGGGAGCTTGGGGGCGTTGGCTCCTACATAGGCAAAACACGGAGCTTTTCTGAGATCTCCAGGCTTTGTCCTTGTGCCGTTGCCAAGCCCAGAGGTTAAATCTTCTTTGCCAGCAACAGTCCTTAAAGGTGTAAAGGCACGGTATGTGGCAAGAGCTCCCTGCAAAAACATGCTGGGGTGCCAGGCTTTGCTGGGATGTCACATTAACGCTGATTGGTGGGATAAGAGCCTTCCCCTCGCAGGGAGATGGGTAGCAAGGGCTAAGCTCCCAAATCCTGCATGCCTGTGCTATGAAGCGCAGCCCTGCCCGCAGTGCAAAGAGACTCAGGGGCAGCGCAGCTCATGGGCCGGATCCAGCCCGTGCAGGTGGTGGAGCAGAACTAGCCTGGTTGGAGGCTGTGGGAAAGGGCCAAGCCCGTGCCCCACTGCTGCCACATCTCCCGGCCTGCGAGGGGAGCATGGCATCCCCCGACCTGAGCTCTGGGGTCTGCTTGGAAGAGGCTTGGAGCCTCCTGGACATCCCTAATCCTGTAGCTTGTGCAGAGAGTGAGATAAAACCTGCCTAAGGTTTGCTGATACGAGCATTGCTTTAGGCACTTGGAAGTCAATATATATATTTTTTGTCTGTTGTGCTTAAGTGCAGAGCCAGATCTCTAAATATTTTTGTGCATTCGCTTAGCAACTACTTCTCTCTCTTTTTATCTCTTTAACAAAGGAAATGGACGATGGTCTCGACGAGGCATTTTCAAGGTAATTCTAATAACTCTCTTTACAAGTTCATGCCAATGGGGACCAGCCCAAGAGACTTGACTAGTGACTGGTTTTTAATAATGCTTCTAATCTAATCAGCCACCGTGATCTGACCTAGGCAGCCGCCCCATCGGTGCCTCAGCTGCTAATTGAAAGATAGGCTTTGAGGCTGGCTGATAAGTCAAATATTTTGACAACCTTTTAAGGATCGAGAGAGGTTGTATGTGATAGGGAATTTAATTCCCCAAGCAGCCTGTGTGTCTGCTCCTGCTTGAATGGATGGTTTGAGGCTGCCTGTTTCCAGCCCCTGTACTAGCAGCAGGGACGCTGGGCCCAGCTTCCTGTGCTGGGGACTTTACCCTTCCTCGCTCCTCCCTGAGGTTTGGACTAACTGAGTTGGGGAGGTAGCAAGGGCTTAACCCAGCCCCGTCACTTTAGTGTGGACAGCTGACCTTAGTCAGAGTTTAAAACAGAGCAAAAAACTGCATGCTCAGCTCAAAGGAAATGAACCCTCATGTCTTGTTTGGGTCTTGGGAATGATTTACAGCTTCCACTTCCATGGTAGCCCTGTCCCAAGTCACGTTTGATAAAAGGCCTGCTTGAATTTATGTCTTAATGTCATCTATTTTCCTCACCTCTCTTCCTTGCCCTACTTAATTAAGCAGATATTGTTGGTCGTGGTCTTTTGTTTTGCATTGCTGGACGCCAAACTGTTGGTTCACCCTTGGCCTTTTGGTGACTCAGTATTTGGACTGCACATCCGCCAAGGAGGATGCATTCAAAAGTGTTCTTGATGGAATATCATTGCTGGTCATTTTTCTTTTTGTGCAGCTAGTTTAATCTGAGGCTTATTCTACATCATGCCTCCGCTGTATGAAACACCAAATATTTGTGTTAACCTTTGGGCCTGGGAGAATTGATGCTACAATGCTGAATTTTCACACAGGTATTTAATAATGCAACAACAAATTGTGGCTTGTGAACTTTTGTGAAACATCTAGGATGTCCTGAGATGAAGACCCTTTAAAGCTGATCCTATGAGCTATTTAAACGTTATCTGAGTTCGGCTGTGTCTTAACGCAAGTGATTTAATCCAAAGAGTTAAATGTTTAGGCTGGGGTCCTGGGAGGCAGGAGTGCTGCTGAGAGCTGCCGAGGTGGCTGTGGTGGGCACAGCATCACTGCGCTCACTGCTTATTCAGACACAACACGATGAAAATTGAGTCATTTCAATGAGGCTGCTCCTTTGGTCAGTGGAGCCCTACCCTGAGATAAGATCCCAGCTCGTGATGCTCCCATCAACAATAGTTTGGAGGAGGAAAAAGGCACCGGTAATGTACAGGATGTCCACACTGCAAATTCCCTGGATGGCTGTAGGGGAAATGTTGTGATAAGCTAGCAGAAAAGCTGGAACAAACTCGAGAGCCTCAAATGTTACGTTCCAGCCCCTCCCCTTATTGAGTTATTTCTTTCCGTGGAGGACTTTGAAGTGGGGAACTGCAGCTGGGATTCTGTGTTGCTGTTGCATCAAGCACTCAGGCTGCAACAGCATGGACTTCTATTCTTACTTTATTTTTTTTCTCCCCTCTTAGACTTGCTCAGTCGAGGACAAACCCTCATGTTCTTGACACAGGACTGACGGCTCAAGACATCCAGAGTGCAGAAACGCTCTCACCTGTAGACTGGAACAAAATAGATTCAAATACAGGCGAGAAAGATGATCTGTTCATGTTTTGAGGCCAGATGCATCTAACAGTTCACAACAGAATAACCACTAAAAGTCTATCGACTGAATTCATGCTGTTCTGGGTGCTGTACGCAAGGAACTCTTCTGAGTGGGGTCTTCACCAAGTCAGATGATATTACAGCACTGTTTAGACCAAAGCTTTAGAAATCTAATGCAGATTTTTTTTACCTTGCTTTTATCTAAACCACAAGATGCTCTTGAACATATTTATTCATAGCCATTACAGTTTACATATATTATTGGAAGGCATGTAGAGCATCTGCAGTATTAGATGGCAATATACCAGTGGAAGAACCTTCAGCAGTGCCTGTTCCTCTCTGAAAAAGACTATGCAACACCAAAGTCTCTGTGTATAAATATTTCTAGACAAAGGTCTGCAGATGCAAATGCAATTGCAAGCACAACTGTTACTAATCCACTGTTTCTTGAACAACACATCACTGCCTGCCTAGGCCCAGAGGAGGAGATTAGCTGCTAACAGCTGCTAACAGTGTTAAAATCAAAGCTGTAGCAGCTGCTAACAGTGTTAAAATCAAAGCGGTAGCAGAGATCTTGCTTTTGTTGTGAATGTCTGTGGTGATACCCTCGTAGTTGCCAGTCATCCATGTGTGTTCTGGCCTTTTCTTTGCCAACTTCATATGGGAACTGACACTTTTTATCCAAAGACTCTATGAAGTTTTGCACTTTAAAACTTAAACTGAAAGCAATGGTCCGAAATGTCAAGGTAAGCAGTGTCTGTAACTTCTCTTCAGAAGCTATTTACCCAAAAAACCCCAGCAATGCTGCAGGTCTGTTTCAAAACTGACTACTCACGTGCACTGTTTCTGCTACGACTCGAAATACTAAGGCTCAGTTGCATTGCTGGCTTTAGTAGCAGAAACACCAAGGAGTAACAATTTCATTTTCTACAGCATGTTGAAAGTTGCAGGTTGGGTGAATCCCCTAGCACAATAGATTTGTGTTCTTAGTTCTGCTAAGTGGATTTGGATGTGCGTGCCTTTTTACTGTATCAAAACCATTTGGTAGTTGCCCACTTAATAGATTCAAATGGAATCAGATTAGGCAAGACCAATACCTGTATGTTCAATTAGCAAAACGTACCCCTTCCCGTGCTGTTCTGATACTCTTCCTCCTGATAGCCTGTGAGGCGTAGAAAGCTGTCTTCATATAGTGCTGGAACTGAAAATAAGTAATGGAGATATAAAGCTTATGCTAATTAAAAGATTAAGTTTAATGATCCTAAATAGTCACACTGACAGTTTGCAGTGTTTGTGGCCTTATGTGAAGTATACTAATCTGTTTTATAGATTTGTAACTTGGTTTTGAAACACTAATTCATTCCCCAGATAGCTCTTTATAACTCTTTTAAAACTGTGTGCAAAAAAAAAAAAAACCTTTGTCAGCTGTAAGAATTTATTAGGAAACAGCTGAGTGACTCTAACTTAGATTTGATTTTTTTCTTCTAAGTGTTATTGTGATAAGGTATTGAGGACTTGTGAAGCTGAGTCATCATGTCTCCTAATAAAATGTGTGCTCCGTTTATTCTGCAAAATTGTGTTTAAAGCAATTGTACATCTTTAAACTACTATGCCCATGACTTATTTGATCTCATGTGCAGCATCAGTCTCTTGCAATTGAAGGAATTGCTCAAAGTTTGTCCATGCTGCTTAGGCACACACTAGAGACGTGAATCTATTGCATAAGCAACACCTGAACGACACAGAAGTGGTTGTAATAAGCACCTTGTTCTGACTCCTTGCGGAGTGGTGATCTTTCTAAGAAAGAACTTGTGTTGCAGGAATGGATGGTGAGGATTTCTCTGTACATTGATCTTTCTCCTTTTCTAGAGAAGCTAGGAGTATATACTGAAATGCACAATACTATATATGTATGTACATAGTTTTTTTTTTTTTTTAAGAAAATCTTATGCTGTAAAGAATATCTGTATTGAGGAAAATAAAAGTTCTACCAATTTTGGAACGCCTTTGTTGGGTGACTTTATTTTTACCATGATGTTTTCAATACGTAGAAGCCTTTCCATTGTATTTCTAACTGGTGGTGCTCTCTGTCTCCCTTGAGGTGTAGCCAGTAAGCGAATGGAAACAACAGCCAGAGAGGGGGAGATAAGTGTCTGTCAGAAGCCTGTTTCCGGGGCTATCCATGTGGAAAAATGATGGCTGGAATTAGACAACACTCAGTGGTGCTGCCTCCAGTAAGCACTTAGCAGGGCCAGATGTAGCCACGCGGGATGCGGCGAAGGGATGTGCAGCAGCTGCCTTCTCACGTGAGCTGCACGGGGCAATGCTAATGGGGTCAGGAGTTGACGGTTTGCAGCCTGCTCCCTGCTTGAGCCCATGCTTAGCTGAATCAGCCTTTAGGTAAGGATGCTAACAAAAGATGAAAAAGGGAAATCGGTGGTTAGGTCTCATCTGCAGGTAAACGTGGTGCTGGTAACATGAAAAAAAAAATCTCTTAATTGATAGAGTTTCTGAGTCACTGTGCAAAGTACTTCTCCCTTGGGGGGAATTTAATTTGTACAGTTGCTTTTTAAATAAAAACAGCTCAGAGAACCTTGCACCTCTCTGTGTTCTGCCTCCCCCTCCAATTCCTGTCTTTGCTTGCTGCAAGCTTTGGAGAGATTGGGCTCCTGCAGCTACCATCTAATCGCGCTGCTAACGCTCGTCTGGGAAGCAAAGGCGGAAATTCATTTGGGGATGCTGACAAATAGATTTAACCTGTGAGTACTGCCATGCTCCCTTTGGGCGTATTGGAGCTGGGTTGCAGGCAGAGGCAGAGCGATGGGATTTTGTAGAGATGCTTCTCCTTCGGAAGGGTCACGCTAACAAAAAAAAATTCCATAAAAGTTCATTTTTCTGTTTAAATTGCCTGTTCCTGTCTACGGTGATGTCTCAGATTATGAGTACTGAGTACTGACAGACTGCGCTTTCATGCATAACTGATGGTGGTGCCAAGGAACAAACTGATCTTTCAGTTTTGATGTGACCTTTCTTTAAGTGCCAGTTTAGAAACTTTCTGCATCTGTTTCTGATCCCTGCATGCTTCTAGGGAAGGAAGGGGCTTAAGGAAGGGACTTACTGCAGTGAGAGCCAGCTTGGAGGGGATACTTGCAGGGATATTTTTGCACTGCTCCCTTGCTCCATAGACGAATACCCAGCTATGCCATGAAAAAGCAGGTGCCTGCTAGGTAGCCTGGCTGTGGGGACTGAACATCTTTCACGCTCTCTCCTTGAGCTGTGTAACACGGGCTGAACTTCCTCCTTTATCTAGGGCCAGAGGATTCATAGCTAGGGGCTCAGCTTCTGGCTCTGAACGTTAAGAAGCATTTAAACATCTAAATACTTCTGTTTCCTAGAAGAAGGTTGCAGTTAAGAGGTTGATAACTTTTATGATGCTCTCTGCTCTGCTTTCTGCTGTCTTCCAGGTGGGCACAGCGACCTCGGAGCAGTCCTGCTGGTCCTGGTCTAAGCCATTATGGGCACAATGCAGACCCTCGGTCCGACACATGCTGAGCTCTCAGAAGCAGGAGCCTTCCCTTTTTTATTTGCAAGCTGCCAACCTCTTTCTGAATTGCTGCCAAGATCTGCTTGGTAAACGGACAGGAGTTGTGCACCATCTAATGCTAGTTGGGGGAGTTTGTGGCTCCACTCATCCCCCGATGTGTTTCGCTGGCAGATGGGCAATGACTTTGCTGTGCTTTTTACTCTCTCTGAGCAGCCTGAGCAGCAGAGGCGATGGGCTGGGCTCTGGTACGTGCTGTAGCTATGCGATGAAATGCTGGTCTGTCAGCCTACAGTGGCAAGGGGTGTATATAGGACTTAATGACTGTCCATCCTACGAATGGTAGCCAGCGTGAGCAAGGAAGCTACCTGAAGGTAGTAAGCTAGGTAATGAAAGCTGCAGCTAGCGCAAACCACGTGGTTTGGCAGCTAGTTTCTTTAGCGGCTGGCACTGTAACTTATCTAACTCATTTAAACACCCCCCCAAAACTGCAATGACAAACTCACTCTGTTGCTGCCAACTTACAGGACTAGTTCGCATGTAGATCTTAAGTTTATTGAGCTTTCCTGCTTCCTGTCTATTAAATGAATGCTCTTGAGTAATGAGTGCTCACAGTGGTGTTATGTGAGCCGAGGCCAAATCCAGCTCTGAAATTAAAAAGTGGCTGACTTGGGACTCTGCTTCCTCTTTCCAGCATCCCTCACGTGTGTACAAGAGTCACAGCGTTAAAAAGCATCTGCTGGCTGGGAGGCTGCTGAGATCAAATGTTAGCTCGTCGGCTTGACGGTGGATCATCAGCAACGCCACCTCCTGCTTTCTCTGTGAGAAACCTCCTCAAGGATGCTGACGAAGGCTTGATGAACGAGGACAGAGCAAACAGGTGAAAGATGTGAGCAGGAGAGTCTGTCATTAAATCCCTGCTTTGGGGTGGGAAGCTTGTCTCAGCTCCTGTTTGCCAAGAGCGTAACCTTTGGCAAATTGCTCCCAAAGCAGCTGCCTCGCATTCCCAGTCGGTGCAGCACGCTGGTTAGCTGCCCTCTGCCTGCAGGCCGGGCTTCCTGGCCAGCTGAGCCAGGATGAGGAGTCACTTGGTCCCTAACACAGCTCCTTTGAGGGCTGCATGGACATTCCCCAAGTGGAATGTCCCACTTGGGGAAAATATTTCCCTTCCTTCACATTCGAGGGGTTCCTGTATGCCTGCAGCACCAGAGCAGCCTGTTAAAAGCAGCCATTGCCAGGCACAGTGTATGCCTGTGGTGACATGGGTTTTTGAAAGGTAGGTGCTCAGGATGCTCTAAAAATACAGGCTCTTCTCTGGTGCTTTGAGTTGGACACTCATGGGGCCTGTTGCAAATCTTGGCCTAGGTTTTTGCCAGAGAGATCTGTTCAAGGCACGCGGGGCTTGTTCTGC